TGCCGTGAAAAGGACATTTTGATCGTCGCTGGAGAACGTTGCTGTGAAAACGACATTTTGAACGTCGCTGGAGAACGTTGCTGTGAAAATGTCATTTTGGTCGTCTGTGACGGCACTTGGTCCAGGGTCGAATCCTTTGGTCACGGCACCATATGTGACGTCGCTCCTCCGGGTCGCTCCTTGCTGCTCCAAGTGTGACGTTCCAACCCCTTGGTTAGATTATTACCAGCCTCGCCTTTCCCAACTCGCTTCCAACACCTGGTTACCAGGGTAACTGTACTGATCTCCGGTCTGCCTACCCACGCTGTGATTAGATCTTAGACAGACGGGATCAAACAAGGATTGGGGCCGTATGCAAGCTGAGTTCGACGGGGGTGGCAAAACACAAGTAAAAAAAAAAAACTCACGAGACCAAAAATTACTGATAAAAAAGGTAACAACCTTTTATATCTAATGTTCGTTACATAAAAATTATTCTTACTTCCCGACCCGCTTTGTGGACTGTGGCACCAAGCTTCTATCATACAACTTAAAGACTTCTGAGTTGCCTACTCTCTAGAATTTTGTGTGTCGGAGTGTGGTTTAGTTTTGACACTGGGCGCTAATCTCTACCAGTCGTTCACGGCTGATTCTTCTCTTCGGCTTGAGTTGGACGTATTTCTTCACTTCGATTTGGTTTGAGACGAAGTTCTGTTCTTGGGCTTGGTTTGATTTCAACTTCTTCTATGCATAACTGCAAGTAACTTCTTCTTCTTCCGTCCTGCAACTCTTCTCTCTGCCGTCTGAGGTGAACTGAGCTCTCTGTTTGGCCCGCAACTTTACTGCCTGTCTGGCCTGCAACTCTTCTCTCTGCCGTCTGAGGTGGACCCTTCTCGCTGCCGCCCGGGGCTGAACTCAGCTCTCTGTTTGGCCTGCAACTTTACTGCCTGTCTGGCCTGCAATTCTTCGGCCTGTCTGGCCTGCAGCTCTTCTTCTTATCTTTGACTTGGCTGCAACTTCTCTGCGGCTTTCGAGCAATCTTCTTCTTCGACTTGGGCTGGAAGGATTTCTTGTCTTAGGATTCTCTTGTCCGCAAAGGGGCTAATGAACCGGGCCCGATGCCCGCGTTCAAGCTCCCTCGCTGCCCGCGGTCCAGCTGCAACTGATCTCTGTCGATTGGGGTTCTGCTTTTATTGACGCCGCAACAAACCGGGGTGGGTCTGTCGGCGTCAGGGTTTTCTCGATAATTCCAAAAGTCGCATTACTTCTGATTTCCCATTATCGCTCTTATTTTCACCCCTACTTCCTCACAGTGCCTCTGGTGGGGAGGCGCATACCCATCTCTCCCGGTCTCTCGTATGTCAGGTGACCGTTTTCGACCAATGGTTCTTGATCGAGCGTCCTTTCTCCTCTTTCTCGCATATCACGTGACCGCTTTCGGCTAATGAGATTCTGTTTGGGCGTCTCCCGTACTACGTGACGTCTCCAATCGGGCGTGGCTTATCCCGGCTTTGTTTCTGGGAAAGAACACCTTGCTAAAAAAACAAAATCTAATTTGGCCTTTTTCGCACGCACGAAAAATGACAATCTCGGCCCTTCTCACCTTTCTGGGTCCTGTCAAAACAGTCCGCCGCTAATTAGATGTGACTTCAGGAAGAATTTTTTCGTCTTGCTGGCGCTTTCTGTGAGCCAAAAACAATTGTTTTTCACCTCTTTGTTTTTGCTCAGACCTGATAATCAAAAATCTTAATTATCTGAATTGAAAATGTCTTCACTTCATCATCGTGGAGGTTCTGATTTTTAACAGGTCAGAATCTGTATACAATTCCAGCGGTGATCTTCTCATCCCAAAAGACACCTTTCCCCGATTAATATTTCGTTTCCCATTGTTCTAAAAAATCCCATTTCTCCAAATTGATAATGAGTCTTCTACACAAAAGTAGGCCAGATGCTTTGACCGACATTTTTATTAATCGCACATATGTTCATACACTTTTACCAAGCCTGTTTTCTTTCTTTCTTTTAATTCTATTCTCCCAAATAACAATTCCCATTGTCTTTTAAAATTCGGTCAGGCACGTTGGCCTAGATACCTTTTTGACACCTGTTTTCGCTAATGACCCTGCTTTTTGCATTAATCATCCTCTTTCTCTCTCTTTTCCCTTCTCTTCCTTCTTCCCTTAGGATCGCCTAAGTACAATTAGAGAATTATTCTCGAAACTCAATTATTCTTCGTCTAAAAAAACTAACAACTGGTTAATAATCCGAATAAAAAAAAATTAAATCATATTTCTATGAATATTTCTTTTTTTCTAATAATGCAGGGTGCCACAGTCGCCAGAGAACGTTGCCTTGAAAAGGACATTTTGGTCGTCGCTGGCGAACGTTGCCGTGAAAATGACATTTTGGTCGTCGCTGGAGAACGTTGCCGTAAAAAGGACATTTTGATTGTCGCCGGAGAACGTTGCCGTGAAAAGGACATTTTCATCATCGCTGGAAAACGTTGCGTGAAAAGGACATTTTGATCGTCGCTGGAGAACGATGCCGTGAAAAGGACATTTTGGTTATCGCTGGAGAACGTTGCTGTGAAATGACATTTTGGTCATCGCTGGAGAACGTTGCTGTGAAAATGAGATTTTGGTCGTCGCTGGAGAACGTTGCCGTAAAAATGACATTTTGGTCGTCGCCGGAGAACGTTGCCGTGAAAAGGACATTTTGATCGTCGCCGGAGAACGTTGCCGTGAAAAGGACATTTTGGTCGTCGCCGGAGACCGTTGCTGTGAAAATGACATTTTGGTCGTCGCTGGAGAACGTTGCTGTGAAAATGACATTTTGGTCGTCGCCGAAGAACGTTGCCGTGAAAAGGACATTTTGATCGTCGCTGGAGAACGTTGCTGTGAAAACGACATTTTGAACGTCGCTGGAGAACGTTGCTGTGAAAATGACATTTTGGTCGTCGCCGAAGAACGTTGCCGTGAAAAGAACATTTTGGTTATCGCTGGAGAACGTTGCTGTGAAAATGACATTTTGGTCGTCGCTGGAGAACGTTGCCGTGAAAAGGACATTTTGGTCGTGGCCGGAGACCGTTGCCGTGAAAAGGACATTTTGATCGTCGCTGGAGAACGTTGCTGTGAAAACGACATTTTGAACGTGGCAGGAGAACGTTGCTGTGAAAATGACATTTTGGTCGTCGCCAGAGAACGTTGCCTTGAAAAGGACATTTTGGTTATCGCTGGGGAACGTTGCCGTGAAAATGACATTTTGGTCGTCGCTGGAGAACGTTGCCGTAAAAAGGACATTTTGATTGTCGCCGGAGAACGTTGCCGTGAAAATGACATTTTGGTCGTCGCTGGAGAACGTTGCCGTGAAAACGACATTTTGATCGTCGCTGGAGAACGATGCCGTGAAAAGGACATTTTGGTTATCGCTGGAGAACGTTGCTGTGAAAATGACATTTTGGTCGTCGCTGGAGAACGTTGCCGTAAAAATGACATTTTGGTCGTCGCCGAAGGACGTTGCCGTGAAAAGGACATTTTGGTTATCGCTGGAGAACGTTGCCGTGAAAAGGACATTTTGGTCGTCGCTGGAGAACGTTGCCGTAAAAAGGACATTTTGATTGTCGCCGGAGAACGTTGCCGTGAAAAGGACATTTTCATCATCGCTGGAAAACGTTGCCGTGAAAAGGGCATTTTGATCGTCGCTGGAGAACGATGCCGTGAAAAGGACATTTTGGTTATCGCTGGAGAACGTTGCTGTGAAAATGACATTTTGGTCATCGCTGAAGAACGTTGCTGTGAAAATTACATTTTGGTCGTCGCTGGAGAACGTTGCCGTAAAAATGACATTTTGGTCGTCGCCGGAGAACGTTGCCGTGAAAAGGACATTTTGATCGTCGCTGGAGAACGTTGCCGTAAAAAGGACATTTTGATCGTCGCTGGAGAACGTTGCCGTAAAAAGGACATTTTGATTGTCGCCGGAGAACGTTGCTGTGAAAAATACATTTTGATCGTCGCCGGAGAACGTTGCTGTGAAAATTACATTTTGGTCGTCGCCGGAGAACGTTGCTGTGAAAATGACATTTTCGTCGTCGCTGGAGAACGTTGCCGTAAAAATGACATTTTCGTCGTCGCCGGAGAACGTTGCCGTGAAAAGGACATTTCGGTCGTCGCTGGAGAACGTTGCTGTGAAAATGACATTTTTGTCGTCGCAGGAGAACGTTGCTGTGAAAAGGATATTTTGGTCGACGTTTGAGGGCGTTGCCATGAAAAGGATATTTTGGTCGTCACTGGAGAACTTTGCCGTGAAAAGGACATTTATGTAGTCGCTGGAGAGCGTTGTCCTTAAAAAGACAGTTTTGTAACTGGACAGTTTATCGCATATCGTTGATGCTGGATGACTGAAGTCGTGTTCTGGAAAGTGGAAGAAATACTAAACTTGGATCTTAGTAATCGAGTCGACGGAAACGATCCTTTTCAAACTTTGAGATCATTTTATATCTTGAATCAGTTTTACAACAATTAAACTTTTTCTTCAACTTGTTTATTTTTTAATATGGGAGTGTCAACAGGATACGACAGGTTTCTACTTACATATGCAAAACTTCTTTCTTTCTTTTCTCATCTATTTATCTATCTATCTATCTATCTATCTATCTATCTATGTTTCTAAAGAATCAATGAATTTTTAATCCGAGATAATTTTATTACTTCAAACGTTATTTTTAGTGGATACCCGTATTTAAGTAGACGCTCTGTTTTTACTATGAACAATATTTATCTTGTCTACTGGCCTGCACACTTGTGAAAACGTATGAAAGAATATGAGCCGTCCGGCAGGATTCGACCCTGTGTACTGCTTTCTTTCCAGGCGTTATTCACCGACTGCTGTTTTTAAACGGTCCACAACTTGCGAAAGTACTTGTCTGAATTCAGTACCTGATTTTGTAGAAGGAAGCCGTAAGGCACAATGCATTTCCAATCCCACCAGTTACACAGCGTTAGAATATTCTGGTTTAGATTGACATTGAGATAGATAGATAGATAGATAGATAGATAGATAGATAGATAGATAGATGAAATGACTATAGATATATAGGTAAATAGATCCATGAAAGAAGATAGATAAATCGATAGATAGATACGAACAGACTGAAATAGATAGATAGATAGATACATAGATAGATAGATATAAAAAGACTGACAAAGATATGAAGAGACAAGCATAGATAGATAATGAAGAGACTTAGATAGATAGATAGATAGATAGATAGATAGATAGATAAAAAGACTTGACAGATAGATTGACATAAAAAGACTGACAGATATAAAAAGACAAAGATAGATAGATAAATGAAAAGACTATAGCTAAATAAATAGATATAAAAAGACTGATATAGATATGAAAAGGCATAGATAGATAGATAGATAGATAGATAGATAGATAGATAGATAGATATTAACTGGATCAGATAGTTGTTGTTCCTAATGACGGTCGTCTTCGAGTATAGAATCCAGAGGTTAGCAGTGAATATTTCGAAGACAGTAGGAAAGCGTTGTTCAGGTTAGCAGTGGATATTTTGGTAAAAGTATCAGAGCATAGTTCGTCTTTCTGTTTCTCTTCGCCTGACAAGCTGGACTGGACATTCGGGTAGAGTAAACAAAATGGCCGCCTTTATACACGACGGATTGAATGTACTACGTCTTCTGATTGGTTAACCTTCTATTGGTGGACTATAAAGTGAGTCAAGTCATTTGGGCTAACTCACTAGTTATATATATACACAAAAAACTGCAACAATAGTTACATAGATAATGAAGATAGATAGTATTATGGCAATTTACCCACGTACGCATGAACTCTCCCAGCTAGGAGCAGGTACTGCCTTTTGGAGAGGGAAGTTTCCAGCAGTCACCTCTGAGAGTCGGACCGAACATTTTTGCTGTAACACTCTCGTTTGTATATGTTTGTATTACTGTTTCTGTTAATATATTTAACTCAATACCTCTCTTTGTGTCTTTATTTCTGGTCCTAACAAAGTCACAACAGATAGATATTAACTGGATCAGATAGATAGATAGATAGATAGATAGATAGATAGATAGATAGATACGTCATTTCTGGAGTGTTGTCAGGTTATTCAGCTAAATTTGGTTAAAGGCCAACAAAATTTCTTTGTTAAAGACTTTTTTTAAATTTGATTTTTCTATAATTCGGATGATTTTCCTGGTTCTCGGTACATAACTTAAATATACATTGTCCAATGTCTTAATACTTTCAGCTTTCGTAAGACATTATCAAAGACTATCATTAGCACACTTGCATACATACACACACGCACATACAAATATATATTTATATATGTATGTATGTATGTATGTTCATTCATATATATATATATATATATATATATATATATATATATATATATATATACTAAAAAAGAACACAATTACGTTTTCCTGTTGGAATACAAAATCTCGGTCAAGCCTCAAACTTGTTGCAATTTTTAATAGATCAGATTTGCTTGTATTTTACTGCGTTCATTCTTCCTTTGATGATTTACATTTTTCCTACAAGTTATACGAAAAACAACACCAAATCATTACACTTCCATCGCCATATTTGACTGCTGGAATGTTGTTCACTGGGTTGTGTTCAGTTCCTTTTTTCCTCCATACTTGGGTTCCCATGTTTCTCCCGAAAAACTCAATTTTTGTTTCATCAGACCAAATAACTTTCTTCCAGAATTCATCTGATTCAAGTTCATAATTTTTAATGAATTTCAACTGGTCTTGCACATGTTTACGTTTTAATAATGGAGTCTTTCTTGGTGATCTAGAACAGGGGTTTTCAAACTTTTTGACTTGCGGCTCCCTTTATATTTCAGACTTTACCTTAGGGACCCCCTTATAAACGCTTATGAAATTTATACATAAATATTTGCTGAGTATAACATATAATTTTGCATTAATGCAATAAAAGCTGGTTTAAAGTTTACTTTAGACATAAGTGTTCAAATAAATTAAATGCTGCATGTCAAATTCAAATCCTTTGGTTCCTTCTCTACATGAATAGAATCCATTATCTTTATCAATTTAAGATACAAATTATATTAGTATATCAAATCTATGAAATAGTTTATTGAATCAATTTATTTCATAATCGGCCTATAAGTTACTTATAAGCGCTTATAAGTTGCACGTCACCCATAAAAAAGTGTTTGCTGTCCACGGACCCCCTATCTTGTCCTTGCAGACCCTCTGTGATCCGCGGACCACAGTTTGAAAACCACTGATCTAGAATACAGGCATATACGATTCAGTGATCTCATAATTGTATCTTTCAAAAATGGTTGTTTCTTCACAATCCGGGCTATATACCGTTCAATATCCCACTTTAATTTACGCAGATGAACACTTTGAATATTTTCAATAGTATCTTTTTTTTTCCACTTTCGAACGACACACACCTTCTGTACACACAAGCAAATTTAAATCTTGAGCAATTTCTCAGTACGATTTACCATCTTTGTGCAGCTTTATAATCTTTATAAACCGGCCCTGAACCCGTTTATACGGTTTCAAATGGGCTATTTTTTGGCCGAACCTAATGGCTCGAAATGCCCACGTTAAAAGGCCTTGTGCCACATGACGCCCTCGTGGGGGACGACTAATATAGTCCGTCGCTCAACTCTTGAGCGACGGTTCGTTCAACTCTCTGCTTTCGGGCGGGAGGAACCCGAAGGAGGCAACGCCGAAGGGCGGAGTCTCCTTCGGGGAGGTAAACCGGCCCTGAACCCGTTTATACGGGTTCAAATGGGCTATTTTTTTGGCCGAGCCTAATGCCAACCGGGAATGCCCACGTTAAAAAGGCCTTGTGCCACATGACGCCCTCGTGGGGGACGACTAAATATAGTCCGTCATGTTTCCAACTCTTGAACGACAGATCGGTTGAACTCTCTGCATTCGGGCGGGGAGGAACCCGATCGAGGCTACGCCGAAGGGCGGATTCTCTTCAGGGGAGGTAAAACCGGCCCTGAACCCGTTTATACGGGTTCAAATGGGCTATTTTTTGGCCGAGCCTAATGGCTCGGGAATGCCCACGTTAAAAAGGCCTTGTGCCACATGACGCCCTCGTGGGGGGGGGACGACTAAATATAGTCCGTCGCTCAACTCTTGAACGACAGATCGGTTGAACTCTGCCTTCGGGCGGGGAGCAACCCGAAAGAGGCTACGTCGAAGGGCGGATTCTCCTTCGGGGAGGTAAATCGACCCTGAACCCGTTTATACGGGTTGAAAGGGTATATTTTTGGCCGAGCCCACGTTAAAAAGGCCTTGTGCTACATGACGCCCTCGTGGGGGGGAGGGTGACTGAATATCGTCAGTAGTTCAAGTCGAGTCAAGAGTCGAGTCAGAGGCAGTCCGAAACAGAGTCGCGTTCAGACAATTACTGCAAGACATTGGAATAGTGATACTGGTCGAGACTACATTGTTCTCTCTACTAAACCTGATTGTTCGTACTAACGCTTTCTACTTCTCTGTATATATTCCTGTTTGTAATATATCTGTGTTATTCCATAGATGTGTTCGAGTTCTTCTTTATTGGTTCTCCCTTGGACTATCACCGTGGTACAAGGAACCGGACCATAACATGTTTAAGTACAAACTATATCAAAATAACTGAAAATAGTTTTAAAATACCCTTTTTAACCATATTATTTGCATAAGTGTTAAATACTTTTGTACACAAAATTCGAAAACTGGCAATAAAAGTACATAAAAACAATATTTCCCAATTTTCCTGTTTATTTAGCCAATGTTCATTAAAATATTTGAAGTAAGTGACTTTAGTAGCAAATGTCCTTCTCGCTTCAAACAACGACCCGAATACGGCATTTAATTGCTCGAACAAAACTTGGAAAGATAATAACTTGAATATTATTATGTTTATCAGATAAAACATTGTAAACTATTCATTTTTACGGGCATGCTTTACTCCGCATTTGGAGTCTAAGAAACCAACTAAAAATATATATATATATATATATATATATAAACAAACGAAATATATATATAATATATAATATATATATATATATATATATATATATATATATATATGTGTGTGTGTGTGTGTGTGTGTGTAGTAGAGCATAAATATAATTATTTATTTAAAAATATGATTCCAACACGCTACATGAGAAACATGAGGACTCTTATGTAGTGTGTTGAATCATATTTTTAAATAAATAATATATATATATATATATATAATTATTTATTCGAAAATTATAACATAAATATGTTATAAAATTACTCCAAAAATAGCCATTTTGTTTCAACACTTCTGGTGTCTTATCAAGTGATGATGTTGAATGTAGAAGAAAGGGTTTGAAAAGGTTCAAATCAATCAAACACACCTCTCTAGGGGAAACGCTGTTACATAAGCTGGAATGACCAATCAAAATACAAGTATATGAGAATTCAAACAACTTGACAACGAACTTTCGTTGTAATAACTATTTAATGCCTTAATGTTGGGGTGAGACTAAAATAGAATTCATTTTAACTAATAAATATTAAATTATACTATAAAATTAAAAATTACCAATTTTAAATTTTAAATTTAATCTATATTAAGTTTAACATTATAAAATTATTTAAAGAAGAAACTGAGGAAAAAAAGACATTTTTTCCATTTATTTTGTTTTTATTGAAATTAAGTTGGAATAAACGTTAAAATCTAATGCTGCTCTGAATTCCGTTACAACTTAGATATAATTGGAGTGAAGACATCGACAGGGGAGGATGAAATCTTGCAAAAGACAATACATACACAATCAGATTATAATACACAAACACGTAGACATATTTAGATATATAAACACGCAAAAAAGCGACGAGGCAGGAAATATGTTTACGACACTTAAAAAAAAAAAGAAAAACAAAAAAAAACGAGAACATACACACACAATGAAAGGCATACACAAACGACCACACACACACACACACCGACAAAGGCATTCACATGCATTGACAAAGACACGCCCATACACCCACCAATATATATATATATATATATATATATATATATATATATATATAACATTTACTGTTATAGCATTTAGATAAAAATAAACTGGCCTCGAATATTGGACGGGATAAGGAAATGAAAAAAGAAGATACAGGCAACAAATTAAGTAAGTGGCATTACATAATAAATAATATTAAAACGTTAATTAATATTCAGACAAGAACCAGATTTACATGGACGGAGAGATATTCGGGAATACATTTACTGTGTAGCATTTAGATAAATATAAACAAGGCTCGAATATTGGATAGGATAAGGGAGTGAAAGAGAAGATACAGGGAATAATTAAGAGAAAATTAAGGGTATTATATAATAAATAATATTAAAACGATTAATTAATTTTCAGGCAAGAACCAGAATTAGATGGACGGAGAGATATTTGGGAGTATAAGGTCTAGTGTCTCATATCTCTTTCTTTTCATTTATTTATTCTTTCTTTCTCTGTAATTTTATACCTTTTCTTTCATTCGTGAGTCATCTTTCTTTTTCGTCCATCCTTATTATATTCAGTACACGCCCTTTCTTTCATTAACCGATGTTTTTTCCTTTCTGACCTTATTCGCAAGTGCGCAGCAAACAGGAAATTAAGAAACGCCATATTGTTTATCAGCTATAATTCGTATCGTCGGCGCGAAGTTGGGCCTTTTCTTCCCGCCTTCAATGTCACCATTACATTTTATGTTTCGCTTAAAGTAAAAGTATGAAAAAAAAAAAAAATAAATAAAAAGAAGAAAACCTTCGATTTTTTTCCCCCACAATTTCGAACCTACTCGTGACCGGACCTGTTTGCTATGGGCCTACAATAAGTTTCTGACTCACTGTTATAAAACACTAGCGGCGCACACCTGGTCGGAAGGTAAATTATTACTTGAGCAAAATTCCTTCAGACTCATAGACATTTTTAGTAACAGTTCAAGTGTAATCTGATGCCGTTTTTCAATATCTCGATGTAATCAGTTAACATAGTCTGACACAAGGCCATAATAATGTAGAGCCCACAGGTGATCAAACTACACGTTTCA